TGCGACCAGGTGTTCGACTTCCTGGCGTATCCCAAATTTTTGGACTCGGTGTTCCGATACGACTCTGAACATAGACCCATTCTCGGCATGCTAGTCAGTGACCTTAACAAGGCGTTGGATGCCAGGCGACTTTGATTCTACAAGAATGATATTCACATAATGTTAATAAGAACGAATCGATGGCCAACAACACGTTTCGATTGCCGGGAAGATGTCCGTTTCTCTTAGCAACGGCGGTCTCGCGATCGTGATCGATGATGAGTCGATCGACGAACACAGCGGACGATCCGTTGGACACGCGCGCTTCGTTGCACTTTATTTCACGGCGAATAGACAACGTACTGCATACTTTTTCAGTGTGACGACAGTATAGTTTCTCATAGCGATAGAAAAAAAAACCGCGTTTTTTGCTCGCGATCACCCCCACCCAGTAGCCGGATCGGGATACCCAGTGCGAATTACTCGCTCATTGATTTATGCAATAATTGTTTAATACTCCGCTTATTTTAAGGACACGGCGTCACTTCACCTGCGTTACATAATTGGTGTGTTATATACATATATTTATGTGCAGGATACCAATTGTTAATCCATACCAAAAAAGGAGTATAATAAGCTTATCATATGAAAAATGATAGAAAAGATGAAATATTAATTTTAAAATTATTGCATATTTTTTAAACTGCATATTAGAGTCTAACTTTATTTGGGATTTTTATTTGTTTAAATTAGTTTATATAAGCAAAAAATTTTCTTAATTTTTTCCACTCGGAGAGATACGAAAATTTATTTTTGCTTATACTAATTCAATTTATTGTATAGTTAATTTTGTTTTTAATCCAGATTCGATATCTTTATCTGGCAAATTCTATTCGTGTAATGAAACTATGCAGTCACAACGATGATTGAAGAAATTAAAAATAATGTTTTTTTTTTAAAATATTCTATGATCAAGATTTGGAGTTAGACCTTAATCGCGATTGTAAGGAATTTCGTATGAAGTTAAAATCCTGCTGTAAAAGCAGATTTGTGTTTGTCTGCTTTTACATGTATCGCAACGAGTACAAAGAGTAATGGAAGAACGTTTTCGAAAATTGCAAAAGTCCATTCGCTGACAGAATAGTTGAAGTAATAAATATCTACGTAATGTAGATTGTCTTTCCCATCTTAAACCGTGCGTGTGATGATGCTAGTATTGTCGCGTGCAATAATAGTGGATGCCCGAGCAAGGGATTTCCTTCTTCTCTCACGTCGAATTGGAAACCGACGGTAGTCACGCGACACATCTTTGTGCTCTATGTAATCTCCAATTTCTGCGATTCCTCTTTAGACATTTCTGCCGGGCAAAGCCGGGGTTTTGATTTTAAAACAGCGTTATATTTAATTATTTAATATATGTTTTAAAAGAGCTATAATTTCATAACGTCAAGAAAAATGTTAATATATTGACAAGAAAAGATTTTTTGACGAATATTTTAGAGATAAGTTAGATTTTAATTGCGCCACAACACGTTTCAATTTCTTTTCGATTTTATAAAATATGAATTTTCTCAAAACGAATAAATATATCGGTCATCTTTCTTCGTACACGCGCAAACAGTAAGACGCATAAATGCGAAAGTATCGGGATGTGCATTGCGTACACAACTCACTGTTAGCGCTATTGTACGTGCACATTTTTTATAACACTCGATTAAAGAAACAATTTCTACATATCTAATTTCATCGCGATTTTATCCCGATGATTATTAACGTAGGACATAGAAGAAAAAAAGAGAACTCTTTATCGACATTTTGCGCCTTTTGTACGCGGTGTACACCCACTTTACACGTTATTTGTGATGATTGTCTATGTTAAGAGATGTATAGGTACCAAGCTATTATATAATAAATTATTAACAAACAACAGTCTCGTTTGTCTCTACTATTTGCTGTTACATCTTACATCCTGAAAAAAAGAAGGTGAACGACATATCAGTCTCAAGAGCTTGGTATATTTATTTACATATACGAAGTCGCACATATATAAAGTCACAATGATATAGTTTATCCGTCGTTTTCCTCATTCGATTGAATTACAGTTCGCGTGCAAAGGTATCTTCGTGTCATGGAAAATTATCAAAAATCACCGGTCACAAACCCTGCCACTGTGATAGTTTTATGTTCACGCTGTTACATATAGCTGCTCTTTCAACACGGGACAACGCGACAGATTGAAACGTTCAGATTGCACTGTTGTCAGTGCACTTACAAGTATGGATTTCAAGTATAAAATTATCAATTTCTTATTTTTGTATGTTATTTGTTACAAATTAAGAGTGCACTGGAAGTGGCAGCGGTTTGAATTCGAATTTCTATCTGCTCATCTTATATATTTCCAAACAATTTGAGAGGCGCGAAATGATGCCAAGTAAGGTCTCGAGAAGCTACCCGTTAACTATTGCTTGTTTATAAAAATAGGCTATCAGAGATGTTTGTGAGTGTTATGGTTAAAATATTGAATTTTTAAACGCCTGTCAGAGAAAGAGAGAGAAAGGGGGGAGAGGGAGGGGAGAGGGGGAGGAGGGAGAGCACTTACAGATTTTTACATACAGTATTTTTCCGCGTAAAAATATTGGGCGTTAAATATTGGATTTAAACATCCGTAAGAATCATACAATGAACGCATGATGTGGTACGCTATAGTGTTCTCTGGGTTATATGTTAAACGATGATTACATGCTAACGGATCCTTTCTTTATCCTTCTTTTTTGGCGAAACAAATGCCCGTGCGGCCTCACGTCTCTCGATGAATCCTATTGTATGTATGTATGTATATATCGGCTCATTTATATAGAGAGATGAACGTGTATCGGTGAAACTACAGAGCTATCGGATACAATGCACACATTTATCTATATCTTAACGTAATATTGTGAGACCCCATAATTATTATACGTTAACAACTTGCAATCTCTCACTCTCACTTTTATAAATATACGGGTCGGGAATATATTTTGTTAACATACATGCTCATTACGTACTATGACGGTTCAATGACGTTGACGCCGATCATTTCGTTTCGCCATTGTGCTATCTTATACTAGAATGCGGCAATCGCGACGACTCGTCATACGATAATTGAATGCATTTAACAATGTGGATCTTATTTCGTTTAAGTACGCCGCGTTACACAGCATATTTATATTTATGCTAAACCGAGGAGGCTTACTTCCTGAATCGTATTTGAGCGTGTTCGACTAAAAATCGTCGAACTCTAATGTTACCGTTGTAAGATACTTGATGAGCTGACGATGGGAATACAATATATGCAGCGTATAATGGAAACAAATGCTGTCTCGATTGCACACAACACAAACGCGGCATTTTTATATAATAATCACAGGTCGACATTTTTTGTTACTAAATGCTTAATTCCATTACTCTCTCCAAATATCGCGGCAACATCGAGCTTGGTCAAACTTAAACAGTCAGATTATACTCGTGTTAAACTCAATAAATTCAAAAGCTAGCAAAAGAATACAACTAATTTGAAACTAAGTAATAAATGGTGCAGTCCACTTGACGTTATAGATGCTTCGAAGCATTTGACCATTCGGAAGAAGGATTAATTAATCAAAAAATTCTTCGAAGCATTTACAGCATCAAGTAGATCGTAGCCAAAGGCGAATAAATATAAAACATATATTCCTAGACGAAAATATTCCTAGATTATTGTGCTATTGATGCATTTAGAATCTTCTTGTTTAAGCTATTATTAAATAACGCTCTTTGTCGGACACGTTAGTCGTTAGTAAAAAACTGATGCTAGCCAGGATTTCTTTGCGATATTTATAATATGTGAGATAGTAATATGTAGGTCAAAATTGATATCGCTATGCTTAAATAAGTATGTACTAAACAAAATTCATTGCATGTTGCTGTTTCGAGGCCGGTGTTTCAACTTGATAAGTTTGAAACTTAATATTTATTACTATAATGTTCGTTGACAATATATTTTTATATCGCATTATGTATATATATATACATAATATATATATATACATATATGTATATATATCATGCTTTATTCCAAATTAAATTAAGAATAAATAAATTTTCTTGAAGAAAATCTTTGCGATTTGCAATTTCATTCAATTGCATTGTAATTAACATTCGGAAAATTGTAACAACGCATACAATACACATATTATACTTGCATGTAGAAATTACGAATCACATTTTCGCTTTTTTATTAACAACATAAAATTTTACATATCATCTGATATGTTTGTCTCATTCTGTTCGATCAAAAAAAAATCTAAAATATTTATAGCGATTGCTTTTATAGATACAAATTATTTTGAAATAATTTAATATTGTCATGAATTTACCACAATGTTTCGAATAATTTGGAAACTACATATAATGAAAATATGTATTTATAATAGTGATATTTTTTCAATAATTTAAAAATAAATCAAATTAATTGAAATTTATTACTACTCATAGTTACTAATAATCTTTTTTTAAATCTTTTATCATGATATAAATATATCGTTTATATGAAAATTATTTACATTCAAAAATTATTACATTCGCTCAAAATATTAATGATGCTTATGGAACGCGGTTTTATTTCATCATGTAATATTTAAATACACACACACAATATTGATATTACTTTTAAATTATTATTTATTCATAATAGAATAGCGACCAGCGTTAATTTTTTATAATCTGATATTACTTATCAAATCATTATTATTTTTTATGATCCAATTTATTTATAATTAAATTTATACAAAAAATTTATTTATTACATCTAAAAATATTCAATTTTTTGAATTTTAAATTAGTGAAATAAGAAAGTATTTTATTTTTTTTTAACTTAATTATCACATACATATGTTACAAGGTATAATAATGGTATATTTTTGTGTCCTTTCAACAAAACATTTTTCTTTTATTACTTATAATTTAAAAAATTACGTTTTAATAAAATATAAATACGTTTTGTAACAGATTCGATATAACCGTTAAGTTATTTCAAATATAAATTATTTCTACTTCCAAGTTTTCCATGTAATATGTAGGATTAATCAATTTTCTGGAAGAAAGAAGAAAAGAATCAACGAATTAAATAATTTAGAGGAAAGTTAAAAGTTTTTTGACAAGTTTATCGTCTTTTCGAGACCTAAAATATTAAATTAATATAAAACTTTAAACACACATGATAGTCTGTAATTCTAAAATCAAGCAGTCAAGCCTTTCATGACATATACATACGACTTATATCCTAATTATTTAATTTAGCAATTATCATACTTGTTTCATTTGCTTAAATCTTCATTGCCATAATCCTGCGTAGTTGCCGTATAGATTTGCAGGCAATGGACCACCTGCTGTAAATAGTCGAGTACCCGATGCATCATAGCAATGCGTATAAATGGCGGGAGTGTATTTTACATTTTGAAAACCATCTATATATTCTTCATCCGGAAACTGGTAATGGAATAAATACATAAATCATTCCATACGTAAAATGAATTAAAGTGATGTCCACAAATATAGTAAAAAGTTAGATTTAAAATTGGAACATTTCCAAAAAAAACCGCACGTAATTACTATTTACATTGTCACTAATATTTTCCTACGATACTTTGTGGACACGTCATATGATGATACATATGATGATTCATGAAAACATTTAATTTAAAATTAATTCAAGTATAAAAATTGTGCTAATCAATAAAGCACTCTCATATTATTTTTCAGTTATAAAATGCAACAATTATCTAATTATTTATGAATTTGAAGACAAATATATGACTCATTACCTTTAAACAACACAATGAAACTTACCACATATCCTTTTGAAGCTTTTAACACAACAGTTCTATTAGAATTTATAGAAGATTCTAGATATTTTTGAGCTCTAACATCGTAGAACATAAGCATTCCTAGTCCAGTTCCAATAGTTAGAACAGATCCTTGAAAACTTGCTGATCTAATACCACAACCGCTATATCTGTACTCAAGAATTTGTTGATATTATTAAATGACCCTAAAATACTAAAAGAAAGTTAGATTACTTAAAAAAAAATTAATTTACCTTGAGGGTATTTTTTTAATTGGTTGCAATGTACGTGCGTCCAGTAGAAGAGTATAAGACCTACATCCAATTGCGTACACACCATCGTCTTGTACAGCAAGACAAACATTTTCCTGGCAGGCTGGCAGTTTTCTAGATATTTTCTGTTTGAAGGATTCGGCCGACCAGATATGTATAAAGCTATTGAGGGTCAACGCTGCGATCTCCTTGTATGCTTTATTGAATGCTAGCGCTCGGACTTTCTGTGCGGACTTGCATTCTTTCACGCAGACAGGCTGAATCAATCTAAATAGAAGTAAATTATTAGAAGTCATTTTTAAAGATTAATAATGAAATTATATATAATAATAGTAAGTACTAAAAGCATTAAAAAAAAAATAATAATGATAATTATTTCCAGTTTCAGATCTCTGAATTTCTATTACCTCATTGGATAAAAAAAAAGATTAATATATCTTGATATCTATTATAAAAGGAAAATTATTCTGCTTTTCTGCTTTTAGTGTGACAAAGGAGACTACAATTTTAATTGTATATTCGATTTTACCTATGTGTAGGCACATCTGCTTTATCGGGAGCTTCAGCGAGATCACTATCAATACGCCATAGAGCCATTTTCGTATCTCTAGAACCGGACACTAAAAATTCGTCATCCAACCAGCACATATCGAATACCCAATCTCTATGGCCACTTTCGCCGACGCAAACTGGATCCAAAGTCGGTAATCTATAGATCGCTATTTCATTACTATTTCTTGCGCCGGTGGATAAAAGAGTTCTGTAAGACAAAGATAAAATAAAATAAAAAATTTTATTCTTTTTTTATTTTTTTGTATGATAAAAAGTGATGAGAAGAAAAATCCAGAAATTACCTCGAAGGATTAATTTGAACGGAATGAATGCCACATTGCTGCTCGGGCATAACGTTACCGCCCGGACTGAGCTGTCTTCCGTGAAGAGACGGAATTTGATCTAATTTTTGCGTCGCTACGTCATAAACCATAAGCTTATTGCACTTTGTACCGAATACTACTTGTCTATCACTTAACCACTGCGAACAGAATACTTTGTTCATGTTGTTCAAGCTGACCGAATATTCCTTGAATAAATCGTGCGTCAATATATGACGGGAACCGTATTCCTGATTGATATTCCGCACTTCGCGCGTATTCGTTTCGCGTGCGCGTACATAATCTACGAAGTTGAAGGATGTTCTCAGGAACTGTTTGCCTTCGGTCACCGTCTCGGCTTCATCGTCACTCGACTCGTAACATACGAAATCATCCGGCTTATCCGGCTTTCTATTTCTTTCATGTCGTAATGCCATCCTGGAAAAAAATAATTAATTCAATGATGCACGTTACAGCATATAATAATTAATAATTAATAATTAATAATTTTTACCTTTTAGATCGGCGATCGTCTAATCTGCTGCTATAAGCACACGGAGGATGTCTTCCGTACACAGTCATTCTTTGTGTCTCAGCCATTATTATAATTTAATGTTTAACGGACTTTACAATATTCAGGCAACTTGCAAGGAACACTGAGTATTATTATTGAACAGGAAAATCTTAGTGAAAATAAAAACAAAACCTGTAATAATTATTTATGTCAAATAAAGAAAAAAAAGATTCTATATTGGCAACAATATTTGCGACTTAAACAATACTTTTTACTATGAATATAAGCAGTCTCTTACGAGAGATATTCGCTAGTTTTAACGTCTCCTCCCTTCTTTCTTTCCCTCTTTATAAGCTTCTATTTTTTTTTATATAAGTATTTATTTATAAAATTTTGGCAATTATATTAAAATTAATCAATAAAGTCACATTCAAATTATAATATATCCTAAGATACTTCAGAGATTCCCAGAAGTTCACAGGAAGTTTTCCTTCCTGTTTTTTTTCCGTAAGGTTTGAGTAAAACAGGTTTTCCTGTTGAGTAACTAACAGCGATAAAATAAGGAGGCACTATACATATAAGGTGATGTCTAGATATACTGATTAAACTGCTCCTAACAAGAATCAGTTTCTTTTAATTTTGATTTTACATATATATTTTAACTATTATATTTATAAAGACAATTATATATTTATATCATATCAATTGAATTTCTTGTAGTAAATAAAAATAGATCTATTTTATTTCCACACTTTCACTTCTAGGACAAAGAAATTTGTTAAAACCCTCTTTTTCTATAAATTAAATTAGTTATTAGATTAAATAATTATTCTGTTACTCCTGTTTCTTGCAAGCTTATAGAAGTCTTTGGAAATAATTAATTGGACTATTTGCTTGTATAATAAATAAAATATAATTCGTCAATTAACATCGACAATCTAGGTATTATTAGAAATATAACAAATGTAGTTTTATTTATAGATAGGCTGATACAAGATACATCCGTCAAGAAATATCTTCAACAATCAGCTGCGATCTAAAATAAACAAAATTTTCAGTCAATACATATTTTTAGAATGTTTACTTTTAGTATAATTAGATAGTATAAATTTATTTACGATTAGTATAAATTATATTAATTTATTACTGTATTTATTATATAAGAGCAATATTTCTCTCTCTCTATCTCTCTCTAATAAGTCAATTTTTAAACAACCCTATTTTAAAAATAATGATAAATGATTTTTTCAACAAAGAATTAACAACATTATAAGCTAAGGACAAAATAAATATTAGTATTTCTATATATATACATAGTATTGCTCGATAAACATTTGTCAAACATTCTAAATAATGAAAATGAAGACCTACAATGACAGAATTTGTACATATAAATAATTTGACATTCGAACAAAGAAATTTTAAAAGAGATGTTTTTCTGAGAAACTAGAAAAAAGAACCTATATAGAAAAGTCTTTCTATACGAATCAGAACAGTTGCATTTGGTGCTAACATTTTGTAAGCATCTTTTGTCCTTGTTTAATGTTTGATAAACAAAATAAAGATAAAAAATAATGTTTAAAGTGCTGTGAACTTCAAAGCAAACGCAGCTACAAACAAAAACATTTTAAAGAAAAGGTCTCTGAAAAAACGAAATTAGAAATTTCTTTTTACGAATCAAAATAATTATATTCGCAGGCTTTTCCTGTATACGTTTAAAATGTCCGAGCGTTTGTTTCGATTTTTTTGCAACGAGACTCCGAAGTTTCTACCAGTTTCACTGTCTCTAGTTACTTCCGATAAAAGAAATTCGAATGAGACGAGTTTTCCCTTTTTTCGCTTTACGATTGCTTACCGTTTTTCGGTAATTACAGTTGCCTTGTACGAGGACAATGAAAGTCATGGGGTGGCGATTTATGATAGTCGGGTTCCTCCTCTCGAACTCGACGTGCACCAGACGTACAGTTACACCAGGATGTTCGACTCCTGGGTCCGTCTGAGATTGAGATCGCAGCACCGCGCTGTACAAAGGAGGGTCAACTGTCCGTCGAAGACCGATGCCCGTTCCTCGTTGCACGTTCTTGGGGTAGCTGGAGTTGACACGTGTAACCTCGCTCGCCTGCCGTAAGCCTACGGGCGACGTCGTTCGCGTGTGTTCTGGAGTGCCGTGCGACTGGAACTACGGAGAGACGATGCGCGGCCGATACGATCCACCATGGTCATGATGAGCGGAGAAACGTACGGGGTGACTGCACGAACGGCACCGCCATGTTGTAGGCGACGCTTCAGCGCCTTAATAATCCGAGAGAGACCGTCGTTGCAGCGTCGACAACGATCTCAACTCTGCCACCCGGGGGGGAGATGATGACGTTTATCCCGACAGCATGATAGAAACGACCGGCACGTCAGGTGTGTGTAATGATCTATGATGGTTTTCCACCACGTGCACACCTACAACTGTCAACATCAGCTTGACTTTCCCCCCTTTCCCTCCGCGCCAGTGGGTCATTTAAACTCCCCCCTCCACCTTATCGTTGCTTAGTTCGAGAAGTAAAGGAACGTTTCGCACAATGGCGATGGTTGCGTTCAGCAGGTAGTTTATTTTGCAACTGTTGGAACTTTTCTTCTCGCGCTGATTGGGTAATACTTTTAACTTTAAAAGAATGTTCTTATTTCAGCGAGAAAACTTCTGATAGTCGCAAAATAAGCTTTTCGAACGCGGTCGATGGCGAATCGAAGAGAATATGTTTATTTCTTTTTATTGTTGCTGAACTTTGTATATTTTTTGTACTTAAGACTGCGGCACACCAAAAAAAAAAAAAAATTAAGCAATAAGTAATAAAAAATAAACAGGGGATCGATTCTGTATCTTGAAACGAGGTGAAAATTACAAAAGTGAGCGAATTTACTAGAATACTGATAATTTCATTGGTTAACACCTAGTAAATTTGCTTACTTTTGTAATTTTCACCTTATTTGAAGATACAGAATCGACTCCCAGTAAGCAAATTAACATTTTGGATTTACTCTTTTTATTATTTATGTCATTGCCTTGCGTTCTTTACTGTGATTGGCCAACTCGTTTACTGTTTTACATTTTTTGTGTGCCATGGGCTTTAAAGTGATATTTAAAATTTGATAAAAGCGAGGAGAAAAATTCTAACGCAGTGCAGCAATAAAAAAATTAATCTAATGGGTACTTTTATTATTGGACAAAACAGTCAGTTCGCCAAGCGATTGAACGTGATTGGTTCTTACTTGTGTATCTGGCTTGAATGTTCCCAGCAATTCGCGTTTGCGATATTAATGCGTTCGCAAAGTCATAGAAAAAAGTTATAATCTTTTTGTCCACAAATTTGATAAGATTTTACGTTAGATCTGTTTTATGAGATCAGTTCTTTTTTCGCTAAAGTTCTTGCACGGTTCATTTTTCTTTCTTTTCTCTCGTTGGAGAAAAAAAGAGAAAAGATGAACCGTGCAAGTTCAGCTAAAAAGAACAGTCTATTCCTACACTAGAGTGCACAAAATCTCTCTTTCTCACTTTTGCCAAATATTAAATATATACTTATCTCACTTTAAGTTCCAAAATAGTTTAGCTACAAAAAATAGACCCGTTGTATCAACAGTAAACTATTCTACGTTCTACACAATTCCGCGCCAAGTCCGTTAACGTTGCTTGCACTTTTTGCACTTTTTGCACTCAGCATCTTTGCTTTCTTTTTCTTCAACGCCCGAATATATATTTATCTCGTTCTAAGTACGAAAATATTGAAGATTTCAGCAACGTGAACAAACCTACTGTTCTGTCTTGGAAACTACCACAAATATTAGAATTTAGATACGCCGAAAATCTTTCGATAATACGCATTTTGTACTGTTTTTATAGACTTGATAACTTTAAAAATGACGTCGTTTAAGAAAATAAATACCAAAGTGTTTGCCCGAACAGGACCGGAATTAACTGAAGATAATATATATTGGAAAAAATATGCGGTATGTATATGTTTAGGAATTTGTATGGAAAAAACGTGATCTCCTTAATACTCCCACGTGTGCGGTACATAACCTGAGTAGATTCATCGATTGTTTTTACGTTTTATTTTTCTCTCACGTTTTATAATAATATAACAAAAAGAAAGAGAACAATTTCATTATTATGATACACATAGATTTTTTTTCAATAGTATTAATCTAAGTTAAAAGCTCTGATCGATTTACTTATGAAATGTTGTTTGTAACGTATATAAGGAAAAGCCTAAAAAGATATACGTTCTACTTCATACAAAAAGCATTCTCTAATTTGACTTCAAAAAAATCTTTTCTTTGTTCGAATGTCATAAACATTCTGATTCATACAGAAAAATTTTCTAATTTCTTTTGTCAGGAATATCTTTTCTTTAAAATTTCTTTGTTAAAATGATGTTATCTGATATGTTACTGTATGCCTTTATTTAGTGGGAATATAGCATACACCAATAAATAAGACTGTAAAATAAAGTCTGCTTTACAAACTAGGCTGTATTTGTAATATAAATATAATTATAAATTATTAATTTATATTTTTTAAATAAAATTTGTCTATATTTTTGCTTTCATTTGCTTATAATAAATATGATATCTTTAAAACATTTTTTTAATTTTTAATTCTTAGTATATACATTCGATTAAATCATTTGTGCTCAGCATATTTCTTTTTTTCAAAAACTAGGAGCATATCAAGTAATTAGTTATAACATTTAGATATTATTTTTTTAAATATATAATCTTAGAAATTCTTTCTAAAGATGTTAAAGTATATATAAGAAGTATTTAATAATTTTTATGTATTTATTAAAAAAAGTGATGAAAATTAATCCAGAACATGAATGACCCATTTCATCTTAGTACACATCATGTGTACTAAGGGTTAATTTTTGTAATCTATGCATTTATTAAAATTATATTTATTGAGAAAGATATATTATTATGTGGTAATTATGTATGTTTACAGCCTCCAGTTTTAATAAAAGAATTTGGTCCGATAGACTACATTGACTTCTCGCCAGTAGAGCCACATTATTTCGCAACAACCTGCTCAGTACGAGTACAACTGTATAATCCTATCACAAAGTTAGCTACAAAAACTTACAGCAAGTTCAAAGAAGCTGCATATGGAGGTTGCTTTCGTAGAGATGGCAAGCTGTTGTGTGTCGGTGGAGAAGAAGCAGTGATTAAACTCTTTAATATCAGTTCAAATAGCGTGTTGCGAATCTTTTCTGGACACAAGGCTGCAGTGCACAGAGTTTTCTTCACAGCAGATGACGTTCACGTTGCTTCATTTTCAGACGATAAGACTGTAGCTTTGTGGGACATACCTAGTGAGAAACAATTGACAAGTTTCAATGAACATACAGATTATGTCAGAGCTGGCGCAGTGAGTCCTGTATCCTCTGATGTGTTATTATCCGGCGGGTATGACAAAATTGTGAATATGTATGATGCCAGAACGAATAAGAAGGTATTTAGTGTTAATCATAACGCACCAGTAGAAAGTTTACTCTTCTTGCCGACTGGAGGAATATTTCTGTCAGCAGGTATAATATTTATGATAGTTTGATTATATTTTATGTATCTATATAATTTTAAAAAATTTTGATGTGCAATTCAGATGAGTACATATTATGCAATACAATATATAAATTCATATGGAAATTATAAGCATCTAAGATTTAGTTTTGACCGTTACAGGTATTAAATTCTTACTCGTGTGTTCACATTATACGATCTTAATAAATCATTTATTATTGTTTGATAAATTTTATAAATTTCTTAGTAAATAATATGTATAATAATTATACATATTATATACACATTATATACAATTTCATACAGTTGAGGGTTTATGTATAAAATTGCTTATTATTTATTTATCTATAATTTCAAGGTGGGACAGATATTAAAGTATGGGATGCTCTCGCGGGTGGAAAATTGGTCGCGAAAATTACTCAACATCATAAAACTGTAACTTGCCTGAAAATTGCTTCTAATGGTCATAGAATACTGTCTGGTTCGTTGGACAGGCATGTTAAGGTTTACGATGCTGGAACATATAAAACTCTTCATGCTTTGGATTATCCTAATGCGGTTCTCAGCATAGGAATTAGTGTAAGCAGAACAAATTGTCTTTGCCGTTACCGCGTTAAATCTGCTGTCACATCTATACTTATTTAACCCGAGAAGTCGTCTGGAATATTTTTATATATTCTTCCGTTTTTAATAACATTTTACTTTTTTCTTTAATAACTGTTTTTTTTTAATTGAATCTTTAAATATACAATTTCATCAAAATCCACAATAAGAAAATTTTAATTAATATCTTTATTTTTCAAAAATACTGTCATAATAAGCTACTTAACGAGTTTAATCCGTTTAATAAATCCTTTTGTAACTAGAAAATAATATATTTTTATTAATATAAGTATTTTAAATATATAATAAGAGAATATACAGGACTCTTTAAATTCAACATACAAAAAGAAAAATAAGGCTTTCAAGAGTCAATTTATAAAGACGTTAATAGATCATATCATTTTTACATGTATTTAAAAACTTAAAAATAATCAATGATAAACATATATTATAAAAGCAATTTAGATATATAGATGTTAAGTACAATAATTTGATCTCTTCAAAAACATTACTAGTTTCGGCTATTAATTTTAGCCATCCTCAGATGTGAACGCAATACAAAAATTTAAATTAATCGAAGAACAAGTAAAAATTCGCAAACTAAGATATGTCTTTGGTTGTTTTCCATAAGAATAAAGGAAATAATAAACGAAGTATTTTCTCAGAGGGACGACAGAACCCGTCAAGCGATTGGAAGATCGTTTGCGAAGGAACACCGTAGTTCTAAAGATAAAAACCAAGGAAACAATGTTTCTAATAAAATCGTAATAAAGACCAGAAAAGTCGTCTCTCTGTTAAAACACTCACCTCTCTGTGATAATTATCCGCAAAATCCATGTGGTAGAAATGTTCGTCAAGTTTTGGAGTCAATGATGATAAGATAAATATATCACATCACAACGATGATGTCGATGATAAAAATTTTTTATAAAAATGATCACATTATACGTGTATCTTGTCTGAGAATTATTACCGGAATATAATCGGAATACATGACCTATCCACACGACGTGCGAAACTGTAATGCGAGTCTGCTGGCAATGCAAAGTCAGACCTTGTTTATGATCGGTATATATGACTTATGAAGACCCTCTGTGTCTGTCTGTAAATTAAGACTGTTGTTTTGTCTTTATAAATTGACTCTTGAAAGCCTTATTTTTCTTTTTGTATGTTTAATCCGTTTGTAATATTTGTTTTGTTTCTATTTATCTTTTTTTTTTTTAGAAAATCGAGTAAATCTAGAGGTGCGTTCCGTATCGCGCATGATGTGCATGAGTAATATTTGTTTTGTTTCTATTTATCTTTTTTTTTTTTTTAGAAAATCGAGTAAATCTAGAGGTGCGTTCCGTATCGCGCATGATGTGCATGATGCATCCATTGTCCTTGTTTAACATTTGGTGAGCAACAAGGATAAACGATGCATTATGCGCATCATGCGAGAAACGGAACGCACCCTATATATAATCCGTAATGTTCTCAAAGACTAACAAATTGGAAAATATTCAATAATATATAATATATTGTTATGATAACAGTGATTTTTAATTAGGATGTAAAAATATCCCATGTGATCGTAAAAAAATGACTACTCTCGGGTTAATAAATTTGATCTATCCAATATTATAAAATTGAATTATTTATAAACATTGATAGTTAAATACATTAATATTAAATTGCAGGTAGACGATGAAACCGTCGTAGCTGGTATGGTAGATGGTATGATTTCTGTTAGAAGACGCGAGGAAGACGTGAAAGATGTAATAAAACCGAAACGGAAGAAGGTGTCGTACAGGCATGCAGGAGAAAATCTGCATGTACGAAGTATTGACGTAGTCGTGCACCAAGAAGTGAAAGAGGTAATGAGCAAGCACGATGCCTGCTTGCGAAAGTTTCAATATAGTAAAGCGCTCGATTGTGTCATGATGAATTATGTGGTTAATAAAACGCCACATGTCACTGTAGCGCTTACACAGGAACTTATTAGGCGCGAAGGTTTAAGGCGAGCTTTGGCCGGTAGAGACGGCAAGTCGCTAGTAAACATTATTAAATTCTTAAACAAGTACATCGGCAGTATACGTTTTGGAAGAGTATTGTCGCACGTAGCAAACGTGTTGTTAGGTAAGTGTTAAATATTTCCCTTTAGATTACTTTTCACATGTTTTTTATTAATAAAATTTATTCTCTTTGTTTAATAGACGTTTACGAAGATCATTTGGACGAACTGTCGGAGGAAACACGAAAAACGTTTGCTATACTGTCGCAAAAATTGCAGGAGGAAGAACAGTTAATTTTAGCTTTAACGCAATTGCAAGGTTCAATGCAAATGATATTGTCTGGTGCTGAAACGTCTTCTTTACCTGCTATAAAAGAAATTCAAAGCTTGGAACCATCAAATGCCGCTCAAACAGAACGTGATATTATTTTGAATATAGCTTAAAATAATTTATAAAATATTCAATTGTAAAATAATTTTTGTAAAATAGTTTTTTTGTACATAATTTTACATTACATTAGCATTAAATTTCTCGAAATATAAATGAACAAGCAACAATTTAAATACTTTCCTCTTAATGAATAAGTGAAGAGTAACATATTTAAAACTTTTTAAAAATTAATTTATAGTGAAAAAGTTTGTGGTGTATACAAGTCACAAGATTAATTGAAAATATTCTAGCAAATTGTTTTTTATTTTTTAAATAAACTTAAATTAACAAGTATTCACTTATTTCAAGAAGTTTCCTTATTGAGACATTTTTGCCAAGCAGCAGAAGATGGTCTTTCAGGCACTATCCATCCAATTGGAATCGTTGTCGTATCATTTTCTGAACTGATGAACTTATCCCAGGCTTTACTGAAATGCAAAAAAAGAAACATTTTCTCGATTGAAAAAATTTGATACAATATCATTTGAAATTAATTACGTCTCGATATTAAATACATACCGAATCATGACAAAACTATCCATATTTTTATAGGATTGTTCAGCAGCCAATATACTTGTCCCAAATAGCACATTTTCCCAATCGTCGAATAAATTTTTCGTTTGTTTTTCGATCCTTTTTTCGTTATCCGTTTTTAGCATTAATTTCAATTCCTGTTCTTCTATTGCGTACTCGCGATCCAAAGTAGTCCACTGTTCTATTAATTTAGCTGTAATATTCATTTATATTTAAAAATATAATAATTATAATTTATATTATATTTGTATAAGAAAATCCTAGCCTGTATTAAATACTCTATTATTAATCGTGTTTTATATTTATTTTATTATTATTAGAATTCCTTATTATGATATTGTATTTATTGATATGTATTTTTATTTCGCATTTTAAGAAGTTTATTATTTTTATTATTGAAAATAATATGTAACAAAATAAAATACACTACCGATGGTATTATTGAAGACATTCTCGGCTGCTAAGGACAATTTCTCGCCCCTCGCTCGAGCAATATTCGCCTTGATCTCTCGTAAGTTCTGTAGTTCTTGTAAAATCCCTAGATACTTTCGTGCATCGTTTCTCTTGCTTCGAACATCGGATAAAACCATATCCGCGTCTTTGCGTAAGTTCTTCTCTTGCTTCTCTCGCTCAATTACCGCCTGCTCTTTTCGGATCCACGCATCTGCTTCTGCATGTAATCTTGCTCTTCTTTCTTCCTTCAATAACTTCTCCTTTTTCCATTCTTCCCTTCTGAGTCGTTCTCTCATACGTTTCTTCTTACGTTTCTCTAAATTGTTCTTAACTTTATTTAAAAAGTTCACATTTTTTATAGTTTTTAAGATTTCGCAGATTTCATGTTTTGCAGCATTACAGGCACTGACCTTCTCCTGCCATTTCTCTTCCGGTAAATTAAGATTGTTCTTAAGTTCCACGCAAACAGCTTCAAGTTGTTTATTCAATCTAGCTACGGACATCAATGCACTCTTAGTGTCCGCGATCTTATACGGATCTTTCTGTTTGCATTTGGCAGGAACTGCTGAACCTGTTTCTTTGAGGAACTGTTCAAAGACCTTTTCATCTTCTTGTCTTGTTCTTATTCTATCGATTGACGTTGCATTATTAACAGTACTGTTATCACATGTTACATGGCTTGGATAAACATAACATATATTCCCACCGTAATTTACATTGTATGGAAATGGTTGCTGATTTATCGGATAGTACGTGTTAAAATGCATATTTTGATAAGTTTGTCCAGTACCTTGTTGGAAAGATTGACCACTGTACATGTTTATTTTAATATGTGTGCATTCAAGTGAGAATAATGATAAAAAAAGCTTAAACTATAATAGTTAGGCTATAAGTTTTAAGTGTAAAATTAATCAATCTTAAAAGGTTAGTAAAGAAATAAAAATGTTGGAAAATATTTTTTTGAAAATAATTTAGCGAAAGTCATTAAAGAGCACTTTTTTAACACATCTGCAAAATATCCCCTTCTTTCGGCAACTGTTCTTCTGCTTCCTGTAATACTTTTTCAGCCTCAATGTAATCTCCGACTTCCTTTAAATCTTGCTCAGTTTCCAGGATCTTCTTGAGTTCTTCAAATGCTTTAACGAGACGCCTCTGGCAGTCTGGTACCATCATAAGGGATTCTTGAAGCACCTCCTCTTGCTTCTTTATGTCGTAGCCATCTTTATCTACAACAACACATATATACTATTAACAAAATTGTTTAATATTAATTTATCAATAATATCACTTCAGACTTCAAAATTAAAGAAAAAAAGCATCTCGTGAATAAAATTTATTTAAATATTAAAAGTTATGATCCTATGAAACAATTGTATTACTATAAACATTTATAAGCGCTTTAATAAAGATATTCTTTTAACACTAGAAATTGAATATTATATATTAGTATTAGACGAATCTACGCAGCAAATATTTCCGAATATATTACGTGGCTATGAAACAAGTTTCGACGTCACGTGATAAGGAATTGCATCCTTTCTCCCCTCATAGCTAAAAGCGATCCTCACCCTGCTCTTTCAACTTTTGTATCCTCTCGCGCTGCTGCGCCGCCTCCTTTTCGTACGTGACCTTTTCTTTCGCGAGACGCTTCACTACTCCTGTCTTAATCTTGAGCGTTCTTATACGCGGATCAGACATTATTTGTATGTTGCAAACAGACGCTTCACCTTTTCGAGACGTCGAGGACGGGAGAAGCTGGAACCGTGGATGTGCGTCGAGAAATCCCTTTGCTGTTTTTTTTTTTTTTGCCTTATTAGGCAAGGACGCTGGACGAGTCGATAGAAACGGAATTGTGGCCGACACCAACGACACCGTGACACACGACGAGGTTATGTATGACTCACAGAGTCGCGATCACGCACTCACGCCTGCTCACGCCGCTCACTTCACTTCGTACCGTTCGAGTTTCGACTGCCTGACGTCACGTGACATCGTCGAGATCTCGATTTCGATGTCACGTCCGATATCGATATTTTGCCGCGGTTTCTTTCAGTTTTCAATCAGTCTCGTGGGTGGTTTCTCATTATTACAGTTGCTTTCCATTTCCACACAAGTGATATTGAGACTGTATTCCAAATTTACTGCCAGCGTTGAAAATCTATTTTAGTTTACGTTATGCACTATAAATTTTCAGTACTGGCAAAAGTTTAAGGGGCTCCGCACAATAAAAGGAACAGGGAACAGAGAATAGAGAATACGAATTTCAACTTATCAGAAACTGTGTATTCCACAATACATGATTTCCGATAGGTTGAAATTCTTATTCTCTGTTCCTTTTATTGTGCAGAGCCTCTAAGAACACAGTTTGAATCTAAAGTTATATGAATATATTTTATATTCAGATAATGACATTAGGTTACTTGGGTGACCAAGGCTGCGTTTCCAAAATTTACTGCTAGTACTGAAAATCTATAGTGCACGTGACGTAAAGTATAGATTTTTAATACTGGCAGTAAATTTGGGAACACAACCTTTAAGGTATCGGGTAACAACACAGGTTTATAACCTCACTTTTAACGTGAGTTAACACGCAGTGTTTAGAAGATATCTTTGGCCGTGTTCCAAATTGACTACCAGCGCTGAAAATCTATAGTTTACATTACATGCGCTGTAATTTTCAGCACTGATAGTAAATTTGGAACATGGTCTTTATGATGTCTTATTTTAGACATCTTTATAGACATGCATGTTCTAAAAGACGTTTTTATGATGTTTCTATGAGGTTTTTTTAGGTCTACTGATTCCACCAGTGTAAGATTAACTTTAATCTTTGTTTAATTTACTGTACATATTTTGTCTATTGGAAAGATTCGATCTCTCGCTTGTGCAGATTATAAAAAGTTGAATTTCACTTGTCAGAAAATAAAAAAAGAACGTGTATTTAATTGAAACATGATGTTATAAATAAGAATTATGAATTATCTGAGTTTAGGTGTAAATGGAATAAGCAACTTAAATATTACGTATACGTCGCGCTACAGAAAGCTCGCTAGCGCTAGTTTTATCGCGATCTATAAAACGTGAAACGCAAAAGAGCCTTCGCTTTATCGCGCAACGAGCGCCAGGATATGACGCGATTATCGTTATACGAGGATCTAGTAGGACTCGAGCGAGCTTTACCTTTCGCCTTATTATCGGGTCGCGGCATTACTGCGCTTCGTCCAATGAGAACGTATCAGACGTTTACGGTAATCAACGACACGATAATTTTCCGGAAAGCGATAAAGAGAAAACAATACCTAGTTTATGCAGGAAGTTTATACGTAAGTTTATAGGGGTATAACGATATTTCAATTGTTTATCAAGCATTCAAAGTCGACGTTTTATGACACTACGTCTAATCTAAAATTTAGATGTAAAACTTTTGTTTTTTATTCGAGGAATATTTCCAAATGTTTCTCAAAATTATTTTGAGATCAAAGAAAAATTTTAAGAGAGAATAAAATCTAAATATGGATATATATATAGTTGAATTAATTAATAAAACTTTTAGAGAGAGAGAGATAAAAATCTAGGCGATTCATCATTATACATAAAAGTATTTAAATAATGTATAAAATGTATGCATTTTAATAGCGCATATTAATTAATTATAAATTATATATTACATATTATATTATATGTATAATAATTATAAATGTTACAAAAACATTAAGAAAATTATTCATAATCAAATTAAGGTAGTGGTAATACAATGACAAGGTAGATATATATTAATTTTTCTACTTAATCGACCTGCAGGAAAATTTGC